ATCTATTTCTTGTAGACAGACATAGTTGAATCTTACTACTTATTCATTTTAGTAATCTCTGCCTTATTAGTTGGTGTGTTTAGACCATTAGTATTTAATGTAACTATTGCTATGACTATATTTAAATCTACAATCGTTTTAGTTTTTTTGTCCTCTCTTGTTCTTTGTTCTTCTGTACCTTTTGCTACCTTTTTTTGAGGAGCAGGGGCTATTTGAACATTTTTTAAAATTCCATTTTACTTATCTCATTGTTAGCTATAACTCTTTGCATTCTTCTTTAAATTGTTGTTCTAAGAAATAAAACATACATTCTTAACTTTCTTTCTACTTAGTTAATATTGTACCACTTCACGTAATACATAGAAATCTTGCAACCATACACTTCCCTATACCACGCCCCCCCCACTCTTTTATGCTCTAGTTGTTAAGCGTCCAGTACATATCACAAAACAATGTCATAACTTTAGCTTTAAAGAAATTAACAAGAAAAAATGGCTGCTTATATTTGCCTATTTACCATTTCTCATGCTTTTTGGTCAAATTTGCACTATTTCTCAAAACTACTTGAACTTGAAGATTACCAAAGTGTACCATTTTCCCCTTATGTGGATGAACACACAAATTACATATTAAGACTGTTTCTGACCTTTCTCATTAACTCATGACAAGTAAAGAAATATCCTTTGGCTCCAATATGCTTGTAAACTAAAACACATATTTAAGCAATGAAACTGGGGGGCAGTGTTGATTATAAGGTAAGTTGGTTATAAGATGATGTTTGTGTTTTTTTTTTATCACATTATCAATTGCAATTTTTTAAAAAAGTTAAATATTAAAATTCTTGTTGAAAATTCTTTGTCCAAACCATGAACATCTCTACAATATTAAACAGGACATATTTTCAGCTCATTTTTGAGAATACCTCAATATGTCTTCAAAGTAAACATAAGTTAACTAAGGTATATGTCTCAAATTAAAAACTGAAGAGTATCTTATTTCCCTTAGAAGTCCACTGGGAAATAGGAATATTTGAAGATGTAAACAATTCACAAAAATGAATTGACATGTAGGAAACTTTAAATACTAAGAAACCATTTACTCAACTTCTACTATGTGTTAGACACTGTTAATAACCAGAGCTATAGACTCTTTTCAAGAAACTCACTATCTAGTAGGGGAATAAGGCAAAAAATTGAACTCTTATTAGAAGGGAACTCGAAAAGTTGAATTCTACTATCTTGAAGAACATGAAGAACCAGTGAAGGATTTTCAGTAGAAGAGAAATATGGTAAACCTCATCGACTGACTAACCCACCATTGCCTTTTCTTCCTTGCCTACCTTTACTATAGAAGCTAGAAAAGGTAAAAGCTCACATTCCAAGCCTCCCCTGCAGTGAGAGATGACCATGTTGACACAGTTCTGGCCAGTGAAATGTAAATTTACTAGAAAATGCCGCTGTCACAGCTTTTGATTTCCTGATGAATATCCAGGGCTTGCTCAACCCCTTGCCTTCTTGCCTCAAATCCAGCATGTCTAAAACTGTGCCAGCCATCCTGTAACCCTAAGAGAAAGACCAATAGCATCCCAGATAACACAGCAGTGACACCATTGAGCTACTCAAGCAAAGCCTACAGCCATCTCCACATTTCTTGTTATTCAAGATTATAAACAAGTGTTTTAGAATGGCCATTTCTGAGTTAGTGTGGAGGTTGGAGTAGGAAGTGACAAGAATGCAGGTAGGGAGACTTATAAGGAAGTTATTATAGTACTCTTAGCAAGAAAAATAATGGCCTGAACCAAGATAACTGCAGTGGGGATAGTGAGGAAAATTAAAAGGTGGAAAAGACAGGGCAAGAAGATGAAGACAGGTTTCAAATGTCTAAATTTCTAGTTTGACCAACAAGGTGAGGGGCAGTGCCGTTCTCCAAAACAGATATGGTGAGGGATTGATGAATTCAGCTGTGGATGTATTCAGTTTGAGAGACGTATGGAACAATGACGTGAAAATGACGAGAAAGCAGTTGACTATGGATCTTTAAGTCGAGAATGAGGTCTGGATTGGAGAAACCCAGCTTTGAGAGTAACCAATATATAGGGTAGTACTGTCCAATAGAAGTATAATGTAAGCCACATATGTAATTCTAAAGTAGAAATAAACAGATGAAATTAATTTTAATATTTTTATTTAACTCAATATATCCAAAATATTATTTCAACATATTATCAATATAAAGTTATTAATGTGATAATTTACACACTAAGTCTTTAAAATCTGATGTGTATTTTACACTTAAAGCACATCTCAACTTATCTGAATGCCTTTATCACAAATACTTGATTTGTATATAAATTTCATAAAATTTACAGTTGAAAAAGTAGATTCATATACCCAAATTGTTCCAAACAGTTAAGTTTTCTGATAGGTGAAAGAAAATCATTCTCCTTTATTATTTATATCCACACTGAAAAAAATCCCATCTTTTTAAAAATAATTGATTTGCCTTCAGAGCAAAAGCATATCAGTTTGAAAATTACATTTATTAAATTTACTTAAATTGGACAAATCTTTTGTAGCTCAGTATTGTTAACATTGAATTCAGTTACTGAGTAAATCAAAAAGCAACTGTAAATTTATCAATAAACATTTTTCAAAATTTTTTTGTAATTTTTGTAGTAAATTTACATAACTGTCAAATACAGTTAAAATCTCATGCATACTGATTCATATGAGAAAAATGTGTAAAATTGTTCTGATATTTATTTTTAAAAGTTTCAATTTCAAAATAAATTCTAGTACTTGTCTAGGTGGGGCACAAGTAGGCTCTTTCCTTGGAGCTTCAAATTTAGATCATTCATATCTCAGGTGATATTGGGGAGAAAACAAACTGCCATCTTTTCTTTGATTATTAAAATATTTGGCTAGGATTTCTGTTGCAAGAAAATCTTGAGGGCCAGCCCCGTGGCTTAGTGGTTAAGTGCGCGCGCTCCGCTGCTGGCGGCCCGGGTTCGGATCCCGGGCGCGCACCGACGCACCGCTTCTCCGGCCATGCTGAGGCTGCGTCCCACATACAGCAACTAGAAGGATATGCAACTATGACATACAACTATCTACTGGGGCTTTGGGGGAAAAAATAAATAAATAAAATTATAAAAAAAAAAAAAAAAGAAAATCTTGAACTGGTGTTAACAGTACAGTATATTTTGTAGAACTCTTCCACAATTCAACCAACTGGCAGAGTACAGAAAATCACTAAATTCATTGTCTTTTAATTCTTACAGCAATCCTATCAGCTGATGTTGACTCATTGCATTTGCACTCATATAACGAACACTTAACAAATGTACCCATGATACCTGTCATAAAGACCATTTTGGAAAACTGAGCACAAATATTTTCAAACTGTATCATACAGTGGAATGAAGAAATAAGAAAAACATCAGGCTCATTTAAAAATTCCAGTGAAATCGAACTTTCTACCTAACCTAGCTGAAATGCTATTTATTGTCACAGAATTTTTTTTCTCATCTAGCTGAAACTCTTCTGACAAATATAAGATTAAAAAATAACTACACGTTTGATTTTTTAGGCCATGAATTGAAATGATTTCTTCATAAATGTTTAAGTCTTATGAGATAAAATGTACTCCAAGTATTACTTGGGCACCATTTCATATTACATAACTCACTTAAAGCTAAAGAAAAGTACTTGTAATTTTTCAGATTTTCAACCAATTAATCTTTGATACTGTTAGAATGGTCCTGTATTCTACAAGCAATGTTTGGTGACTTTAACTAAAGACTTGGCACTTTTTTAATAAGATATTTTGAAGCTTTAACTCATAATTTTATAAGAATTTCTATAACTGATATAACTTATTTTAATATCTATCCATCTAAAACTAGTTCTTTTTCATACAAGAATCCAAGTATTTTATATCTGGCCAAACTTACAAGCTCAGTTCTTTTCAAAATTGTTAAAAAATAATTTTTGTTGGCCATTTAATACTGACTTCAGGTGATTAAATTTCAATTCTTTTTTGACCTTTGAAAGATAGCTTCATTCATTCATTATGCAATTGCTGAAACTGTCTCAATATTGTCCACTTTACTGTCTTTTTTAAGTAACAGCTTGTTTTTCTCTGCCACTGTAAACTGCAATTGTCATCCATCATGAACTCTGCAACACATCTTCCTCCAGTCTTTTTTGTTTACTGTTCCAGTTGTGGTATAGCTTCTGCATCTCTACTTCTTTTTCAGTATGCCTTCATTTTGAATTTGAAAATTTGTTCATATTATGTCTAAACTAGAAAAACAATTTAAATACTTCAATTTAATTACCAATTATGGTTTATATAAGTTTCACTGTTATTCCTGTTTGTATAAAATATTCAGATAAACATGCCATCAAGTTACATTGATTCATGAAAAAAATAATTTGCATTGAATCCATCTGTTGACACCAACTCAATCAGTGATGTGTTTATATGATACTAGACATGACACACGGATTTGACACACTACAACAATCATAACTTAAGCAAGGTAACAAATATATTTCTGAAAAGACGAAAGTTGAGTTCAAAATATTTTACACTGCTTTAGTTTAATTAAAATTAAATAAAAAATTTACTTTCTCAGGGCCAGCCCCATGGCTTAGCAGTTAGGTGCGTGTGCTCCACTGCTGGCAGCCCGGGTTCGGGTCCCGGGTGCTCACCGATGCACCACTTCTCCGGCCATGCTGAGGCCGCCGTTCCACATACAGCAACTAGAAGGATGTGCAGCTATGACATACAACTATCTACTGGGGCTTTGGGGGGAAAAATAAGTAAATAAAATTATTTTAAAAAAAAATTTACTTTCTCAGTCCTACTGAACTTGACTTCAAGTGCTTAGTAGTCACATGTCACTAGTGGCTATTGTATTAGATAGTGCAGATATAGATATGAGAAAGATAAGAGCCAAAAGGCTTGCAGTTTTAATTCCACTTCTCTTTTATTTGATATAATTTCCAGCTTAGATCTTATCTGGGTTCTGCTATTCTCTTGCATCTTTACTAAAGTAAAACAAAGCAAAAGTGGAAATGGTTGGATGTTCTGTACAGCACTCCTTGGAACATGTTATGGCTCACTCTAGCAGACACGGGGCAACCTCTAAAAAACTATAGCTCCTAAAAGCAATCATCAACTTTACCTCTTTGGAGAATCCCTTTTAAACAGCAACGTGCTGATAAAAGTTTAACTACTGGCTTTAAAAAAAAAAATTTATGTATATAAAAGATGGGTAGCATACAATTTACAAATGATAAAAGCATACACAATACTCTTTATTGTAAGTTCCATACAGCCAACCGATTCTCATAGGTTTTTGATTTTTGCCGAACTCTTGTATCTGTAGCCAACCTATGGTTGCAATTTGACCAGGATTTTACAAACGGAGTTGCATCCCAATCTGCTAACTCTTTCCCCAACAAATTTATTGTCATCAAATCTGATATGTGATCTATTGTTAAACTATTTCTCACCCTTGTACAAATTATGTTCATTAAATTGAAACCTCTTTCAGCTGCAGTGCTATTGATTGCAATAGTGCTAACTATCTTTTTAGCTTTTTGTATACTTGCAGGAATTGAAACATTGTTTGATTTTATATTATTATTGACAAATTCCCGAAAATCACTCAAATCAATCTCGTATTTTAAAATTTCACATAGATGAAATAATTTTTTTTCACCAGCTATCCATGGTGAAGTTATTTCTTCATAGGGCCATGTAGAAGGTTCTAGCAAATCAAAATAATTAAAAATACTTTCATCATGGTTCCTGTCAGATAAAAGACGTAAGTTCATGTGTCGAATTACATTTTCTAGTAACATACTCCTAGGAAGGGCATTAAATTTATTACTTTTGTTAAATGGAATACCTTTAAACTTATCTGACTTAATCAAACCTTCAATTTGTGACTCATGCTTCCCAGTACCAATTTTTAAATTTTCCAAAGCTCTTATGGTACGTTTGATAAACTTCTGTGCTTTCTGAATGTTAGTTGATCTTGACTGTAATGCAGTTGAAAGTAGTGAAAATTCTTCAAGAATGTCAATCATTAAAGCAAGGTCTTGCAAGAAATTAATGTTAGCTAATCTCTTTGCCAAACCAGAATAAGAATGAGAAAAATGCATATATAACACAGGATAGGCGTGCCACACAGCAGTAGCAGCTTGTAACCTGCACGCTGCCCATCTTGGTCCCATTACCCGGCCAATTTTAACAATTTCCACTTCAAGATCTTTAGCTACAGTTTCTAAAAGCTTCTTTTGATTTCTATTAGATTGATGATAAATGGAATAAATTTTATCAAGAAATATTTTTAAATGATTAACTTGTTTTATTTCAGATATTGAATCATCAAGTGACAACTGCAATCGATGGTTTAAACAGTTCCAAATAATGATTTCAGGAAAACTTTCTAACAACTTTGTAGTTACTCCAGACTTTCTTCCCAGCATTGTATTAGCACCATCAGAACAAAATGCAATTAAATTTGCTTTCAAATATTCATTAGTAAAGCCACAATCATTTAAAGTACTCAATAATGTATTGAAAATACACTCTGCTGTGGTTGACACCAATTCTTTTAAAGCAACAAATAACATAACTGGTGCAGGAGCTGACTGAACTGTGCACTGGAGATAAATCACTAGAGTGCTTTTCTTCGAAACTGTAGATGCGTCATCAATTATAATACAGATTTTGGCATTCTCTTCTATAATATTCTTAAATATCTTCATCTTCATTTCTTTTGCAATATGTTCTGCTATTCTTGTTGCACTGTATCGCGTATTTAAACAATTGACCTCTCCATTTTTCTCTTGTAACTCTATTGCCCCTTCAATATCAGATAAAGGTCTATTATGTTTTACTAAACTGTAAACAGTATTGAAAACTTTTACAGTAGCATCAATATTTTTATTACTTTGTTTATGCACTAAATTAGAAATTGAGTCATTAACTGATTCCTTTAACAAATCCTGAATTTTACCATGCGCTTTAGAAACATCGTGTTCCCTAATTTTTTTCCGCAGAGAAGCCTGTCTAGTAGTTTTATTACTGCCATTAGGAGTTATTAAATACGCAATCCATTCCTTGGACACATGGACATGCTTCTCCGCTTTCGATCCCAAATGCCGAACTGTTGAGCAATCCTTACATCCTAATTTACCTTCTTTTATTTCAAGCCATTTGTACTGTTCTGTAAACATAAATGCTTGTTTTTCATTCCAACAATCTGGAAGCACATGATTATCTATTTCTTCTTTTGATGAACATGATGGTTTTTCTTCAATGACTGGTTGTTCAATATATTCAAACTTTGATTCACACAATCCACAGTGATTTTTGTTCCTATTATTACTTTCTGTGTCTGTTTTCACCTTCTTCACATTTAAAAAATGCAAAAAATCACCCTGTCGTTTTGGCATTTTAGGGAACACAATCTGAAAAATAATTTTACATATGTAAGTAAAATTCATAACAATACTTTAAGGGTTAATGTAAAAAAGTTATATTAATGATTTCTTTAAACACTTTTAGAAATAAATTTTAAACTAAAATACTTACCTTGATTTTCAGTTTATACCTATAACTTCAATACAACTTGCTATTTCTTGAAAAACCCACTATCACTTTTTAAAATTCTATAGCCAATAATAATGTCACAAAATCTGACTGAATGTTTATCATGCAATTCAACAAAGAAGTTGCTCATATAATTTATAAATGAATATAGTTCCAATGTGAAGAGTGTTTGATATTTTCACTTCCATTAATGAATAAGATGAAAGTGAAAAAATGAAGATGTATATCAGCACTCCACTCATTCATCAATGACATCAACCTTTTTGTTGAATCAATGAAGGGTTTTCAAATAATGCACGATTTCCTCAATTTTTCACATAGCACACAGTCTAGCAGTTAGAGACATATCACATTGTTAGACTTAATCCGCATTAACATTTTAACTATCACTTTTAGTTTAGACAATCAACAAGTAATAAATCAAGCCCTGATTTGTTGTTTGCCGATTACCTTGGTGTAAATACTTCCATCATGCTGCAGGAGCACACTGTTATATAGTATTCTCACCAAACAGATATAACAGATGTAAACAACTTCAAGTGCATAGATATTAGGATATGGGGAGTTTTGAGTAGTTATTACCTCAAATGTAATGATAATTTATTTACTTCTAAGTTTATATACTTTAATTTTTAATAATGGCTATATTTAACAATGCAGCTCACAAAATTCTTAAAAATTTAACAATTGGTTCTTATAAGCAAGCACACTACTGCACTTAATTACAAAACTGGAAAAACACAAACATAATATACTTACATCACTATGATAAGTACTAGGCTCTTCATCATCACCACAGACCAAATCAATGTATTCAACAATAGGTCTTGATGGTCCTTCCTAAAAATGAAGTGAGCAAATTTACAAGTCATGAACAATCACTCAAACCGAACTTGCATTTACAATCAGTGGGGTTGTTTTTTGTTGGAATAGCAAGAATTCTTGTGTCAGAAGCCTTGCAGGTGGCACAGAATAATTAGAAACAAAAGCAGCACAAAAATGATTCAGAGTAGATGAATATGTAATGATGACAAAACCCAAAAAGAGCCTAAATCTATATAAAGGAATAAAGCCATGTAGATTCTGAAATGGGAAATAGTACAGGGATAATGTTAAAAAGACTCAGATACCATGGTACAATATTTTTTAACTGGGATAGTTATCAATAATCTTTTAGATATCCAAACTTGAAATCATGGAGTTCTTTGACAGCTTGGCTTCATCCTCCACATCCTTATACAACCAAACATCAAACCCTGAATCTTCTCAATCCTTTCTTTACACACATACTACCTTCAACATAAACCAGGCCTTAAATACCTGGTCAAAAACCTAGATTTTATTCTGTAGGCAAAGGAATCAATATAGTGTTGAGACGGGAACAAAATTAGAGCTGTGTTGCAAGAAGATCGGGAGAATATAAAGCGTGGGAAGACTAGTAACAAGATAATCGACCCAGACAAATGGTAATGTAATACAAAAACAGAGTGAAGGCAAGGAGAACAACGAGGAAGTATACTCTTCTGTATGTATACTATACTTCAATGAAATTTATACCAAAGATAAGGGCTCTTTTTGTACCCCCAAATTTTTATTATTCCTTTCTTCCAGCATATTGTGTTTAGTTTGGGGCTATGTATATGGCAGAACACAAAGAGGATGCTGTGCCATAATGCAGACTAAAGGCTGGAAAATGAGATTTATACAAAAAGACTAAGGAATCCAAATCTGAATACATCAAGTAGTAATATACTTGTTGATAAAAGATATAAAAACAACACAAAATGTTCTTTTTGTATCTGAAGAACTCTCAAGCAGAGAATGTACCCAGCAGCATTTCATCTTTACTGGACGGTACTACAAAAAACACAGAGAAATAAGTATAGCCTGGTGGAGCCCAGCATAGGATGGGGTTATAGAAGAAGTAAATTCCGTCTCTGAATGTGTTTTAAAGTAGAATTATATTATCATTGTTTTTTATATAGCACCATTTAAAGGCAATAGGAATATTTTTACTAAGTTCTTTCTGGTACTGCAATTCCACTTAGAGCATACAATTCACTTCTCCTCATGGAGCTGTCACATCTTTCATCCTCTATTTGGAAACAAGGCTAAATATAAGAGATTCTATCAAGCTGGATGTACAAATCTCTGGATGCAAAGATACAAAAGATTCTCTCTATATAAAATAAAAGTTAAATTAAGAGTTTTAAACCTCAGCTGAATACAAGCTGATATATTAATTCAGTTAGAATTTACAATTATTTATTCCTCAGAGTATTACACAAATTTATACCTATTTATTTTTCCAACCTTAGTTTTGTAGATTCCTCCTGCGTTTCTCAAAGTAAGGCACACAGATCATAAATACATGTGTCACTCCTCATTACAGGTGCACAAAACACCATCAAGATCGGGGTCCCATTCGCTTGTCTTCTTCATACCACTGTCAGGAGGAACCAAAATTATTTTTCCTAGACCCAAGGAATCCTCTTTCCAAATGTTTTTCAGGACAAAAAACAAACACTGGCTGTTCAATTTCCATACATCACTTACTTCTCACCATAGGGGAGGCAGCGTCAGCACACAACCCCTCTTGGTACCCCTACATTTCTACAACTTGAAGTGTCAAGAAAAGACTACTACATGCATTATTAATGGGGAAGAATGTCAAGGAAAAGATCTTGTAAAGAATTACTATACAATCCTACCAGAACAACAACGTCAACACTACAATGTTTAGGGAGAGAATTTTGTTTGATTTTAAAAGTAAGTGATTTACATGGTTGCCTTAAACCTACTATAGCAATATTAAAAAATCATTAAACAGGCACTCATTTAAAGAAAAATTATACAGCTTTAATAGCAAACTCAGCTAATCACAGAAATCAGAAGAGTGGTTTGGGGTAGAAGTGTTTTTACATAGCTAAGAAACCACTTTAATTTTATTTATTTATTTTTCCCCCAAAGCCCCAGTACATAGTTGCATGTCACAGCTGCACATCCTTCCAGTTGCTGCATGTGGGACGCGGCCTCAGCATGGCCGGAGAAGCGGCGCGCCGGCGCACGCCCGGGATCCGAACCCGGGCCGCCAGCAGCGGAGTGCGCGCACTCAACCGCTAAGCCACGGGGCCAGCCCCCCTAAGAAACCACTTTAAATGGTGGCTTTGTAAAACTTGAAGAATTTGGGGTGAAAATCATCCCAAAATGTATCATAACACTCCCTTTGGTTTTCAAAACCAATACTTTACCAAGTGTGTTCAGAGACTCATATATCCCTGTGTTTGTGCCAAAATGAAGATTCCTAGGCTGCACCTTGAAATTTTCACTCAACAGGTCTGGAGTGGGGTACAGGAATCTGCACATTCACACTTTATTGCTTGACAACTACTGTCCCAAAGGGAATAAACTCAGAAAAATACAGTATGTTCCTGGTGATGCAGGATCTTCATTATGAACATCACTTGTGCTATGCTGTAACGTGATGATCGCAGAGATTAGTGAAGTCTTCTAGCTATCTGCCTTCACGCTATGAAGATACATAATGCTCACATTCCGAGTTCTCGCAACCCTTCTTCTCTACCTCCTTCTTCATCATCAGCCTTCCCTTCTCCCTACGCTGGGTGTCATCTCTTAGCAGTTACTCTTGCCCCATTTCAAAACACGGTCTTGAGCGCCCAGAACCCCCTGCAGATTAAACATAAAACGGCTCTAAGCGAAGGCAGGAGGAGCGTGACTGCGCGTACGTGTCCTGCAGGCCACAGTCTTTGTGGTGGCTCCGTGGTCGCTCCGAGACCTCTGCCGGCAGTGCCCTATTCCTAGGCCACGCTCCACGGAGTCTGGTACCCACCACACTCACACACGTCTGCGGAGCGATGGACGAACAGGTGAGGCGGGATCACAACGGTTTACCAACCACACAGTCTTCCACTCGGAAAACCCGAACACCGCCGCTACTTACACTAACAAACTGAATGTCATCTTCGTTTTCCTCCGTCGTCGACTGCGACGCCTCAGGCCCCGCTGGAGGGACAGACTCTACGATCTATAAAATAAGCCAGAACACGCTTATCTATACAGCCACACACCGGCGGGAAGAGCTTCTTCCAAAGCAACCAAAAAGGCAGAGCTTCTGGGACAGAAAGCTCTCGAGCGCAGCGAGCGAGCACAACGCCCCGCGAGCCCGGCTGAGGACGGGACTCGGCGGGGTCGGGTCGCGCCGCGGGCGTGGGGCTGGGGGACCGCGCCCCACAACGAGCCCCCGGCCCCCGACTCCCCGTCGCCCCGGGGAGGAGGCCGCACGCTCACCACCGAGGAGCAGGCCCGCCTCACAGCGTCGCTCCCCGGCAGGGCAGCGGCACCACGGGCCCGGCGCCGGGGCAGGGCCGGGGGCGGCCATTGTTGCTCCGGCCCCCGCGCGGCCCCGCATCAGGCCGGGAC